ACAATCATGATGGGGCTCTGTGACGAGACAACACATCATGATGTGGCTCTTGACGAGACAACAATCATGATGTGGCTCTGTGACGAGACAACAATCGTGATGTGGCTCTGTGACGAGACAACAATCATGTGGCTCTGTGACGAGACAACAATCATGATGGGGCTCTGTGACGAGACAACAATCATGATGTGGCTCTGTGACAACATTCATGATGTGGCTCTGTGACGAGACAACAATCATGATATGGCTCTGTGACGAGACAACAATCATGATGGGGCTCAGTGACGAGACAACAATCATGATGGGGCTCTGTGACGAGACAACAATCATGATGGGGCTCTGTGACGAGACAACAATCATGATGGGGTCTGTGACGAGACAACAATCATGATGGGGCTCTGTGACGAGACAACAATCATGATGGGGCTCTGTGACGAGACAACAATCATGATGGGGCTCTGTGACGAGACAACAATCATGATGGGGCTCTGTGACGAGACAACAATCATGATGGGGCTCTGTGACGAGACAACAATCATGATGTGGCTCTGTGACGAGACAACAATCATGATGGGGCTCTGTGACGATACAACAATCATGATGGGGCTCTGTGACGAGACAACAATCATGTGGCTCTGTGACGAGACAACAATCATGATGGGGCTCTGTGACGAGACAACAATCATGATGGGGCTCTGTGACGAGACAACAATCATGTGGCTCTGTGACGAGACAACAATCATGATGGGGCTCTGTGACGAGACAACAATCATGATGTGGCTCTGTGACGAGACAACATTCATGATGTGGCTCTGTGACGAGACAACAATCATGATGGGGCTCTGTGACGAGACAACACTCATGATGTGGCTCTGTGACGAGACAACAATCATGATGGGGTTCTGTGACGAGACAACAATCATGATGGGGCTCTGTGACGAGACAACAATCATGATGGGGCTCTGTGACGAGACAACAATCATGATGGGGCTCTGTGACGAGACAACAATCATGATGTGGCTCTGTGACGAGACAACATTCATGATGTGGCTCTGTGACGAGACAACAATCATGATGTGGCTCTGTGACGAGACAACAATCATGATGGGGCTCTGTGACGAGACAACATTCATGATGTGGCTCTGTGACGAGACAACAATCATGATGGGGCTCTGTGACGAGACAACAATCATGATGTGGCTCTGTGACGAGACAACAATCATGATGTGGCTCTGTGACGAGACAACAATCGTGATGTGGCTCTGTGACGAGACAACAATCATGATGGGGCTCTGTGACGAGACAACAATCATGATGGGGCTCTGTGACGAGACAACGATCATGATGTGGCTCTGTGACGAGACAACAATCATGATGGGGCTCTGTGACGAGACAACAATCATGATGGGGCTCTGTGACGAGACAACAATCATGATATGGCTCTGTGACGAGACAACAATCATGATGGGGCTCTGTGACGAGACAACAATCATGATGGGGCTCTGTGACGAGACAACAATCATGATGGGGCTCTGTGACGAGACAGCGATGAAATATCCAATTTCAACTTATTTGTGAAGACTTGATACCACAAAACAAGTAGACTTGATTTTTAAACTAATTTAGTTCCTGAACACTAAACCATTAGTAGCAAATATCAAGGTCATGGATCTCCCTAACTTGAGATTCTCTAACTTGATAAATCTAAACTTGAGTTTGGTGAATTACTAAAATAAATCTAAGTTTGCTATATTATATTTTTACCCAGTGTTATACCTCTGCAACACCCAAATTTGTTTTTATAACTGGGGGGGGGGGAGGTGGCATCAAGTTTTTTGAGATGTCGAGGATGGTCATGATGTAAATAAGGCTGGGAACCACTGGAATAATCTGAGCAGTTTTGTCGAGGACAGTTGATGATTGATCAACCTGTTCTGTAGTAATAATATTGGCAATACTTGTTCATTGAGGCACTTTCGTAAAAACACCAATTTCATGGGGTTTAAGAACAGATTTGTTAGAGAAAACAGCAAAGGAAGAGGAAGGAAAAATCTAGAGAATTGGGATAAAAGTTGGCGAGTGGGATGCATTGTGCTGTAATCGTGAATGAGCAATATAAGAGGCAAAATAATCACAGGGGTCGTTGAATAGTAGCTCTAGGCTTTTCGTGTTACATTCAACACATCTGAAACTTGCAATGTTGCTGTATTCAAAATAACAGAAATGGGGAAGAATGCCAAGTGCAAGAAAATATAGATAGCAGAGTAAAGCACATAAGCATAAACCATATAAAGCCCATGAGCACTGAATATGTAGTAATGACCAAGCAACCACAACATAATGGTTGCTTGGTCAAACATCCCTTCTGACTCCAAATCATTTCGCTATAAAATTCATTAAATTATCATTCAAAATGTGTCTGGCAATTGTTTTCAGGAAATTTCCTATTGTATTAAAGAAAATTGAGTCTAAGGCCAACACACTTAAACAGGAGATGATCCTTAAAAAGACTAACCCCGCTCAGCTCTACCAAATGCCGGTCAGACATAAGAGAGGGCAGGGAATGCAGATCCTAAGTACCTCTCAGTTCGTCAGTGTGGAACTACATTTAAGACAGTCCAAAGAATTCATATAGGAATAGGAATCCAGCTTCAGGTTATGTACAATGTCCAGAATGATAAAGGAGTCGAGGATTTAAACACTTATGCAACATATGGGAATCTTTATTCAGGAAACGTTTCGCCACACAGTGGATTCATCAATCCAATACAAAGTAGAAAGGCATAAGGAGAGGAGGAGTTTGAGGTAATCAGTCCCTCAGCTTGGAATCGATGTGTTCAGTCCATCAATCTTGTAGAATGTACAGCATAGGGCCGTAGACGTGGCTTATATACTGTAGTGAAGTGAGGCGAAGCAGGAGGAGGTGGGTTCATAGTGGTATCATCCACTAGTCGAAGTAGGTCTTCGTCCAAAGGTTGGACAAGTGTTGAAGAATTCTTTGTAACAAGATCCCATGATGCTGCAGTGTCTGACAGTTGTTATGCATAAGTATCTCAATCCTCAACTTGTCGGTTTTTCAAACCATTCATCATAAAGGAGTCGAGTTTGAACAAACCAAAATTATTATTATATAATGAACATTCATCATGTTTTATAACTTCCGATTCTTTGACCTGCGGTCTTCTCTGACCTTTCCCCAGTCTTCATGACTTTGCACTTGGTGGGGTTAAACTCCAGGAGCCAGTTGCTGGACCAGACTTGCAGCCTGTCCAGATCCCTTTGTAGTCCTACTTGATCCTCATTCGACTAAATTCTTCGCATTAGCTTAAAATCGTCTGCAAACAGGGACACCTCTGAATCTATCCTTTCTATCATGTCACTCACACCTACACCAAAAACAGCACCAGCCCTAGGACTGACCCCTGTGGAACCCTGCTCGTCACAGGCTCCCACTCTGACACCTAGCATACCATGACTTCTCATTTTCACCCTCTTATATATTCTTTGATCCATTGCAGTGCCCTTCCTGTTATACCTGCCTGCTCCTCTAGATTTTCCACGAATCTCTTGTGTGAAACTGTGTCAAAAGCGTTCTTACAATCCAGAAATATGTAATCTATCTCTTCCCTCCCCGGTCTCTCTCTTGTCTTATGTCATCTTGCTGTAAAACTCCATTAGGTTTGTGACACAGAATTTCCCTTCCCTGAAACCGTGCTGGTTATCATGTATAAGCTCATTCCTTTCTAGGTGCTCCACCACTCTTCTGATAATCTTCATGACTTTGCATAATATGCATGTCAGTGACACTGGTCTGTAGTTTAGTGCTGTCTGTCTCTCTCTTTTTTAAAAATTGGGACTATATTTGCTGTCTTCCACACCTCATGTAGTTGCCCTGTTTCGATAGATGTGTTGAAGATTGTCAGTGGCACACACAGCGCTTCTGCTCCCTTTCTCAGGACTCACGGAGAGATGTTCAGTCTCACCGAACAACTGCTAGTTCACTTAGCAGTCTCTTCACCTTCTCGATTGTATGTATTGTGTCCAGCAGTTGTTGGTGAACCCCACCATACCGTTTTCTGAAGTCCTTTCTATTTCCACTGAAAACACTTCCTTAAGAGGCACATAAGTTCCCCCGTCCTAAAATAACATGTTCATTTTTGCACTATAATTTACCTTGTCCATACTTGCTATCGCATTTGCTTTGCCTGTGTCGTAAGGTGAAGTCCAGGATCCTTCCTTAATTCATAGTATGACTTAATAAATCTTTGAGGACAGTTGTGTTACTGAGACCTGAGCGAAGCTCAGGTGTTTGATGTGAACAAAAATGTTTATCCTGACTTGTGCTAGGCGTATAAGAAGTATCGACACAGGAGACTGAAAATATACTAAATGGTTATAACTATGACCATAATTTTTAAAGTGGTGTACCGGTAAGCCAGCCTCGGTCAGATGAACGCAAGTTCCAACAGCGGGTCATCATCTCAGACCCACGTCAGGAAACACTTGTCCTGCTTCCTGACTAACCTTAACTAACCCAAGGAGACTGAAAATAGTGTCAACACACGGCGTGCAAGTGGAATATGTATCCGGAATAGGAGCTTAGCTGATCTATAGGTAATGGGAAGTTTGGATAAATATTTTGAAATCAGAAGAGACCATTATGTAGCGCCCCACAGGGACCTATACTAGGCTCCTTATTGTTGATAATTTAATTTAGCAGTAAAAATAATGCATTACATACTGACTTAAGTCTTTTTTGGCGTGACTAAACATGCTAAATATTCTATGTAGAAGTCATAACTTACTCTAGAATAAGTTACGATTCTTATACAAACACATTCACAACATTCAGCTGAGACTGTAATATAGCGTTTTAGTAAAGGAATGTGACCATACTGGTGGAATGTCTTGTGCGCCAGTGTGGAAGGTGGTGTCAGTATCATGAGATTACTCTGCTATCTTATCTTCCTCACCCTCAGTGCCATTTTCTGAGGACTGTTGTGGCACACATGTGCAACTAGTGTCCTCCAAGACTTATACACATGACTGTTGCGTTGTTCATAACTTAAACATGTGCACGTTACTTTGTGTATAACTTAAACATGTGTTTAAAACATTCTTAATGACTTAAACATGGTCGTGTAGTGTCGTGCATAATTTACATAAGTGTTACTTTGTGGATAACGTACATATGTGCATGTGGAGTTGAAGATGTCTAACACATGTGCGTGTGGAGTCGTGGATCACTTATACAGGTGTATTTGACGCAGTGGATAACTTACACATGTGCGTGTTACGTAGCGGGTAACTTACACATGTGCGTGTTACGTAGCGGGTAATTTACACATGTGTGTGTGTTACGTAGCGGGTAACTTACACATGTGTGTGTGTTACGTAGCGGGTAACTTACACATGTGTGTGTTACGCAGCGGGTAACTTACACATGTGTGTGTTACGCAGCGGGTAACTTACACATGTGTGTGTTACGTAGCTGGTAACTTACACATGTGTGTGTTACGTAGCGGGTAACTTACACATGTGTGTGTTACGTAGCGGGTAACTTACACATGTGTGTTACGTAGCGGGTAACTTACACATGTGTGTGTTACGTAGCTGGTAACTTACACATGTGTGTGTAACATCTATAATGCCTCCATATAATTATATATAATAAATTTTGGGCGCATAACCGTAATCAGTATTGTTTTATGACTGTGAACAGTGATGTAAAGTGACTGTGAACAGTGATATAAAGTGACTGTGAACAGTGATGTAAAGTGACTGTGACCAATGTTAGTGACTGTGACCAATGTTAGTGACTGTGGCCAATGTTAGTGACTGTGACCAATGTTAGTGACTGTGGCCAATGTTAGTGACTGTGACCAATGTTAGTGACTGTGACCAAGTTAGTGACTGTGACCAAGTAGTTAGTGACTGTGGACCAATGTTAGTGACTGTGACCAATGTTAGTGACTGTGACCAATGTTAGTGACTGTGACCAATGTTAGTGACTGTGACCAATGTTAGTGACTGTGACCAATGTTAGTGACTGTGGCCAATGTTAGTGACTGTGGCCAATGTTAGTGACTGTGACCAATGTTAGTGACTGTGGCCAATGTTAGTGACTGTGGCCAATGTTAATGACTGTGGCCAATGTTAGTGGCTGTGGCCAATGTTAGTGATTGTGACCAATGTTAGTGACTGTGGCCAATGTTAGTGACTGTGGCCAATGTTAGTGACTGTGGCCAATGTTAGTGACTGTGACCAATGTTAGTGACTGTGACCAATGTTAGTGACTGTGGCCAATGTTAGTGACTGTGGCCAATGTTAGTGACTGTGGCCAATGTTAGTGACTGTGACCAATGTTAGTGACTGTGACCAATGTTAGTGTATGACTGTGACCAATATTATTGACTGTGGCCAATGTTAGTGACTGTGACCAATGTTAGTGACTGTGACCAATATTGACTGTGGCCAATGTTAGTGACTGTGACCATTATTGACTGTGACCAATGTTAGTGACTGTGGCCAATGTTAGTGTATGACTGTGACCAATATTATTGACTGTGACCAATGTTAGTGACTGTGGCCAATGTTAGTGACTGTGGCTAATGTTAGTGACTGTGGCCAATGTTAGTGACTGTGGCCAATGTTAGTGACTGTGACCAATGTTAGTGACTGTGACCAATGTTAGTGACTGTGACCAATGTTAGTGACTGTGACCAATGTTAGTGACTGTGACCAATGTTAGTGTGTGACTATGACCAATGTTAGGGTGTGACTGTGATCAATGTAATTGTGACCAGTGTTAGTGACTGTGACCAATGTTAGTGTGTGACTGTGGAAAAGTTAGTGATTGTGACCAATGTTAGTGTGTGACTGTGACTGAAGTTAGTGTGTGACTCACCAATGTTAGTGTTTGGCAGTGACCAATTGTAGTGTGTGACTGTAACCAATGTTGTGTGACTGTGACCAGTGATAGTGTGTGACTGTGACCAATGCCAGTGTGTGAGTGACTGTGGCCAGTGTTGTGTGAATGTGATCAGTGTTTATGTGTGACTGTGAAATGTTAGTGTGTGACTGTGACCACTGTTAGTGTGTGACTGTGACCACTGTTAGTAACTGTGACCACTGATAGTGTGTGGCTGTGACCAGGGATAGTGTGTGACTGTGACAAGGGATAGTGTGTGACTGTGACCAGGGATAGTGGGTCACTGTGACCAGGGATAGTGGGTCACTGTGACCAGGGATAGTGGGTCACTGTGACCAGTGTTGTGTAACTGTGGCAAGTGTTGCAGTTTTAGTCCGATGCTGCGAAAAGTGTTGTGTGACTGTAACCAGTGTTGTTACGTCACTGTAATCACTTGTGTTGACTGTGATACAATGTGGTACGTTGACTTAATCTTGTGTACACTGTGATCCATAGTGAGGTACATGTTGACCAGCGCTCTAGTGTGTGTACACTGATGAACCGTGATCAGTGTATGTACCACGTCTTAGGGTGTGACTACCACTGTAGTGTGTGTGTCACACGCTAGGTGTGTGACTGCACGGTGTGTACCCTGGTGTTGTACATGTGTGGACTCACACTAGGTGTGTGTCACACACTGGGTGTGTGACAGGATCAACACTCACACCATACACCACCTACACTCCTCTCGTCACTCAACACCATCATTATTGATAAGCACCACCTACACTACTACTAACTTCTACTATCTATTACTAATAACACAATATCACTATCACTAACTACTTCTTGCTACTAGTAGTACTACTGACGCAATATCACTGACTATCACTAATTACTACTATCTAACAGTACTACTAACACAATATCACTATTACTACCTACTAGTACCACAAATACTTATATCACTCACTATTACTAACTCCTCTTATCTACTGGTACCACTAACACAATATCATTCACTATCAATGCCCACTAATACCACTATCACTTCTCATATCACTCACCATAAACATCCACTTTCATCACCTTTGTAGCTTTAAACAACAACAGTGTCTCCACCACCACCACATACATCACTCACAACACCACCATCATCACCACATACATCACTCACAACACCGCCATCATCACCACATACATCACTCAACACCATCATCACCACATACATCACTCAACACCATCACCACATACATCACTCACAACACCACCATCATCACCACATACATCACTCACAACACCACCATCATCACCACATACATCACTCACAACACCACCATCATCACCACATACATCACTCACAACACCACCATCATCACCACATACATCACTCACAACACCACCATCATCACCACATACATCACTCAACACCATCATCAACACGTACACGTATGACACAACCACCACATACATCCCTCACCACTAACATACATCATACCACCACCACTATTACGGACACAGGTACATAAATAAAGTCCTGTTGTACCTGGTCATAAATCAAGTCTTTAGATAAGGAACAATCCAAGAAAATAATAGCAAAGGTAAACACAAGAGGTTGTTTTTTAGAACCTGTATATTCCCTTCACCAAGACAATTACAGTTTGTACACAGTGTATATCATCAACAGAACCACAATGAAATAGAGATCAAAGAACCACACATACTACACTTGGTTTTACACCTTAAGATAGAGCAGTACGTATGAATGTATTCGACCAGGATTAGTGAGTGTATTCCATTCGGTCAGGTGTAAAAACATAACCTCATATAACTTCATATAATCTCATATAACCTCAGCTGGGGCAAGCTCTCACACAGTTCAATACACAAATAACCCGCACGTAGAAGAGAGGAGCTTGCGACGACGTGACTTTGTAAATGGTCCAAGTCGGACCGGAACGTCGTCTTAAGCTTCTCTCTTCTATGTGCGGGTTATTTGTGTATTGTTCCAGTCACGGTATTGTGCCTTTTTGTTATTTATTCTCACACAGTTGGTTGGTATTTTGGACTTAACAGAGAATCAGAGCAGCGGGGCCCCTAAATAAACTGCTTTTATCCGACTGTCAGTTTGGCTGGTCTAGAAGGTGTGCACAAATACGTAAGATGAATGCTGAATAAATTGTAATTTATACAGTACCCCCCCCCACCCCCAGAGCACCATAACAGCTAGGAATATTGCATCCCTCAATTAGGAAGCGTGTTACCGTGGAACAAATTTAAGAAAAACTAGTTAACAGAACTGCCGTTCCGTTCATACCATCCTACCCAGTTGGCAGCGCTTCAACAAAAAATTAAAAGGGACAATAAACAGTATGGCTAACAAAGGTCCAAGACAACTGCAGATGTGTGCCCCCACCAAAAGACATTATTGTGGGTTTTGTAAAGAATTCCTGTTATTAAAACATATAGATCACCCAGTAAGAGGAATAAAGGTATAAAACTACCTATCACTCTAATCCTAACCATACATATTCATATAATAAATCCTAGTAAGTAAGCCCTGGAGAGTGAGTCCACTACTGTGATGGCCTTTCCAGAGGTGTGCTTGATCAACATATTATATAGTTGGAGTCTTAACGCCCAGCACATTAAACGAACATTTCTATTCCATATAGAACTCAGATATTATGGTTGCCGAACACCTGAGCCACATGCGAGAGGATAACACACAGTAGAATAATGAACGAGAGAGCAAAGAGTTACACTGTATACTTAGCTTCACACCTTATGACTATATTCACACTTCCTCCATCACAACATACACGCCTCACATTTCCTCCATCACAACATACACGCCTCACACTTCCTCCATCACAACATACACGCCTCACATTTCCTCGATCACAATATACCTGCCTCACACTTCCTCCATCACAACATACACGCCTCACATTTCCTCCATCAAAATATACCTGCCTCACACTTCCTCCATCACAACATACACGCCTCACATTTCCTCCATCACAACATACACGCCTCACACTTCCTCCATCGCAACATACACGCCTCACACTTCCTCCATCACTACATACACGCCTCACACTTCCTCCATCACAACATACACTCCTCACAACACCTCCATCACATCACTCAGAGCATCGTCTATGACTCTCCTACCACCACCTTCAGACTAGATGGCTCCTAACCCACTCAGTCGTGAGAGAGAGGCACGCAGGGAGGGTGCTTGGTGGCGTGTGTACAGTCCCTCTCTGGTGTGTCTGGCTATCATGTGCCTAGCCACCATCTACCTCGCCTATGCTGCCTTCGCCTCCACCCACCTGCGACCATCAGACATCATCGTAAACTCACAGTGGTCTCTCTCCTCCAGCAACCACTGTAAGGCTCACTCCCTAGTCCCGTTATTGTCTAGGTCAAGTACCGTATTTTCCGGCATATAAGGCGCACTATCATATAACACTCTGTTTCCAAGCAGTTGTAACGTAACGTTAGTAAACAACTGCTAAAGCGTAACCCAAAGCCTACCCTTGACCCGGACCTTGAGCATATAAGGCGCAGGGTAGTTTTCCAAGACCTTCTCGTGGAAAAAAGAGCGTGTTATACGCCGGAAAATACGCTGTGTTAGTCTGTATGATCGCTCGTTACACTGTATGTCTATACGATCGTTCGTTACACTGTATGATCGCTCGTTTCACTGTATGATCGCTCGTTACACTGTATGATCGCTCGTTACACTGTATGATCGCTCGTTACACTGTATGATCGCTCGTTTCACTGTATGATCGCTCGTTACACTGTATGATCGCTCGTTTCACTGTACGATCGCTCGTTTCACTGTATGATCGCTCGTTTCACTGTACGATCGCTCGTTACACTGTATGATCGCTCGTTACACTGTATGATCGCTCGTTACATTGTCTGTATGATCGTTCGTTACACTGTATGATCGCTCGTTACACTGTATGATCGCTCGTTACACTGTATGATCGCTCGTTTCACTGTACGATCGCTCGTTTCACTGTATGATCGCTCGTTACACTGTATTATCGCTCGTTACATTGTCTGTATGATCGCTCGTTACACTGTATGATCGCTCGTTACACTGTATGATCGCTCGTTACACTGTATGATCGCTCGTTACATTGTATGATCGCTCGTTACATTGTCTGTATGATCGCTCGTTACACTGTATGATCGCTCGTTACACTGTATGATCGCTCGTTACACTGTATGATCGCTCGTTACATTGTATGATCGCTCGTTACATTGTATGATCGCTCGTTACACTGTATGATCGCTCGTTACATTGTCTGTATGATCGCTCGTTACACTGTATGATCGCTCGATACACTGTATGATCGCTCGTTACACTGTATGATCGCTCGTTACACTGTACGATCGCTCGTTACACTGTATGATCGCTCGTTACACTGTATGATCGCTCGTTACGCTGTATGGTCGCTCGTTACACTGTATGATCGCTCGTTACACTGTATGATCGCTCGTTACACTGTATGATCGCTCGTTACATTGTCTGTATGATCGCTCGTTACACTGTATGATCGCTCGTTACACTGTATGATCGCTCGTTACATTGTCTGTATGATCGCTCGTTACACTGTATGATCGCTCGTTACATTGTATGATCGCTCGTTACATTGTATGATCGCTCGTTACACTGTATGATCGCTCGTTACATTGTCTGTATGATCGCTCGTTACACTGTATGATCGCTCGTTGCATTGTCTGTATGATCGCTCGTTACACTGTATGATCGCTCGTTACACTGTATGATCGCTCGTTACACTGTATGTTCGCTCGTTACACTGTATGATCGCTCGTTACACTGTATGATCGCTCGTTACACTGTATGATCGCTCGTTACACTGTATGATCGCTCGTTACACTGTATGATCGCTCGTTACACTGTATGATCGCTCGTTACACTGTATGATCGCTCGTTACACTGTATGATCACTCGTTACACTGTATGATCGCTCGTTACACTGTATGATCGCTCGTTACATTGTATGATCGCTCGTTACACTGTATGATCGCTCGTTACATTGTCTGTATGATCGCTCGTTACACTGTATGATCGCTCGTTACATTGTCTGTATGATCGCTCGTTACATTGTCTGTATGAACATTAAAATGGTATAAAATACCGACAGGTTGTTAGGTAAGACACATATGCAACAGTTAGGTATCTTTATTTCGAAACGTTTCGCTTACACAGTAGGCTTCTTCAGTCGAGTACAGAAAAGTTGATAGAAGCAAAAGATACTTGAAGACGATGTAATCAGTCCATCACCCTTAAAGTTTTGAGGTGTCAGTCCCTCAGTCTGGAGAAGAGCATTGTTCCATAGTATGAAACAATATGGAGATGAAACTGTTGTCCAGAGGGCTGAAGAAGGGTTGTTGAAGTGGTTCGGACATGTAGATAGAATGGAACAAAACAGAATGACTTCGAGAGTGTTTAAATCTGTAATGGAGGGAAGACCGGGTAGGGGTCGGCCTAGGAAAGGTTGGAGGGAGGGGGTAAAGGAGATTTTGTGTGCAAGGGGCTTAGACTTCCAGCAAGCATGCGTGAGCGTGTTTGATAGGAGTGAATGGAGACAAATGGTTTTTAATACTTGACGTGCTGTTGGAGTGTGAGCAAAGTAACATTTATGAAGGGATTCAGGGAAACCGACAGGCCGGACTTGAGTCCTGGAGATGGGAAGTACAGTGTCTGCACTCTGAAGGAGTGGTGTTAATGTTACAGTTTATAACTGTAGTGTAAAGCACCCTTCTGGCAAGACAGTGATGGAGTGAATGATATAAGTTTTTCTTTTGTGAGCCACCCTGCCTTGGTGGGAATCGGCCGATGTATTAATAAAATAAATCATATTCCCCCAATTCTACGCTTTTTTAGAGAGTACAGACTCAGGGCCCTCAGTCAATCCTAATAGGGAAGATTTCTGATACGCGGGATAAACTTTGTCATCCTCCTTTGTACGTTTTCCAGTGTATTTATATCCATCCATCGTTCTTAATGTTGGTTTTTGTCGATTGTTTTCACGTTATTATAAAGTTATGAGCTCTTAAATGAATTTTTAAGTAACATCGAGCGGCGCTGTGCTTTGCTGATAGAAACATTTTCCAACGTGAAGCACGTAGTTACATGGGCCTGTTAAAAGTGCTCCTCCCTTGTAGGGTTGTTATGCAATGATTATCGCAATTATTATTATTATTGTTGTTTGTTGTTGTTGTTGTTGTTGTTGTTAAGGAAAGTCACCCAAAAGAGAGGAAGCCTTTAAAAAATAATTTACTAACTCCTAAAATTTCAGTAAAATTTTAAGTATAAGAGTTGACGGTGTCTTCAACCTCCTGGAGATTAAAGAACCATTAAATTAAATTAAATATTATAACTATAAAGATTAATCACACGCACTATAATCAGAACCTGAGGTCTAGAACAAGGACTCTCCGATATGATATTTAATGAATATTAAAATGGTATACAAAACCGACTTATTGATAAGTAAGTCACATGTGCAACAGTTAGGTATCTTTATTACGAAACGTTTCGCCTACACAGTAGGCTTCTGTTGAGTACAAAAAAGTTGGCAGAAGCATTAGAGATGAGAAGACGATGTAATCAGTCCATTATCCTTGAAGTCGTAGTTTCCAGGTGGTCAGTCCCTCAGTCTGGAGAAGAGTTTTGTTCCATAGTATGAAACAATGTGAAGTTAAAGAGACAGTATGGAGACTTATATACTGTCAGAAGGAGAAGTGTAGTTCAACCATTCTCACTTGAAAAAGTTGCCCGAAGTGTTTTCTGTTCTGTACCAAGATACCATTGTGTTGCAGTGTCTGACAGTCCCTTTCTGACAGTATATAAGTCTCCATATTGTCGTTATGACCACATACACTCATCTCGACCCACCAGTGAAGAAAATGATCTTATTAGAACTGAGATGACTCCCAATAATTTGAAAATACGAGCCTGAGAGTGAATCAAATGCTGTAAAACTCGTTATTAAGAGAGATAAAAACTGGGGATACACATATTCTTTCATAGCTAATAATTTTAAAGTTCTCGCTGTTTCCCTGTCTCCACCTTCATCACTCATAGTCTGTACTTCAAGGGCTCACTAGTTTATTATTACCTTACAGCATTATAATAAGACTGATTCATCACTCTCATCACGTAAAAATTCATCGAAATCTTCACTTTTTATCTCTTCACTTGGTAAATCACTAACACATTTGGGATCCTATAAGAGGTGGGGGCTAAGAGACGAGACTTGAAAACTACATATACTCAGGCACATATATGCTACCATATATACACACGTACATATACGCTACCACGTACGTTACCACATATACACATGTACATAGAGGCTACCATATATACACACTTACATACGAGTTACTACAGTACACAGCCATATATGACTCAGCTAAGCTTCATTCAGAAAACTGTTTTTAAAATGACACAATTTCCTGAACCCTCACACAGCAGCACACATCACCAAGCTTACTCAAGATTTAATGCATGAATTCAACATAGCGTCTAAAATTCATTTTCTAGCACGGGACAATGCCATGTTTTGTATATACACTTCAGATGGCTCTCCATGATTGTATTCTGGGACAGAAGGATATAAAAGTTATTGTGAACCGATTCAGTCTTTTCTAACCTGCAGTAAACTAGAGATTTTTCAAGAACAATAACGTACAATTTTAATGAGAATAACTTTTACTGAGAATAACACTTACGTTAGATCACCTCTGTGGACAGATTTTTTTTTTTTTGATTGGCGTAAACAGAATTTTATTGTTATGACATCTCTTTCTGTAAAAGAGTATTTCAGAAAACAATTTTATGTGTTGGTGAAAATAAATTGTGTGATCTCGGAAATACTGTGCCAAGTACAATATTTGAAATATTTCATAAAGCTTCAAGTGAACTAAGATTCTCAGGCTTGGGTAACACACTATCATCTCTCATAGTAAAGTAAAAGGACACAAGTGCAACTAATGTGACATTTATTGTGGCAACGTTTCGCTCTCCAGGAGCTTTATCAAGCCATTACGTAATGGTTTGATAAAGCTCCTGGAGAGCGAAACGTTGCCACAATAAATGTCACATTAGTTGCACTTGTGTCCTTTTACTTTACATATTGTCGGTAATTCTACCAACTTTATTACAATCTCTCATAGTGTCAGTGGTAATTAGGTTCGACAGTTACACCACTGACTACAACACGATATTCAACACAATTCTGTCTCCCGATAAAAGAACAACTTCTTCAGCGTCAATGCAACAGATGAGTTTTGTCAATCTAGGCTTCCTCATTTAAGAATTTGTCGCTTCCCTGTTATTATTATTATTATTATTATAATCACCTTGTGATAATGATAGCCACCCACCACTTTGTTCAAGCTATATTTCGTAGTAATGAGACGTTTTGTATTGTATAGCGGTGACGGTGAGCGGGACAGTACCTGGTGGGGTGTACTCAGACTTGCTCCTGGCTGACGTTCTCACCGGAGGTGACCTCTACTACCGCTACAATGACCTCGACTACCGCTGGGTCGCTGAAGAAAACTGGACCTACTCTACTCTTGTACAAGGTTGGTTGATTGCCAGGGTATTTTGCGTGACAGGAGAAATCTAAAAAACTCAGCTCAAGAGCATATAAATAGAGGAGCACTGACTAATGTTAGGCAGTTCCACCATACCAACATATTTGTCCATTTGGCAAATGGTCTCATTAATTTTCAACTCGGCGGCTAAGTCAGTAAATGTCTATATACTATCTAAATCTTCATTTAACAACCGTGAAGAATTATCTTCAGTTCTTCATGGATTTAATAGTATCAGATCCCTCTTTATATATACTTGTCTTCCATATTATACTTCGAATGTTCTCGCCTCATTCTATCAGAAGTGTAGGTTCATAGCTCTAAATAATATTTTTAGGAAAACTTATTCAGTGAGTTAATTTAGTTATCCCTTTTAATACATTCTCAATTGCAACTCAACATATTTTATTTGGAAACGTTTTTCTAACTGGCAGCTGAGTCAATCCTTTCCAGTACACACACACAATATATATATATATATATATATATATATATATATATATATAATATAATATATATATATATGTATATACATATATATATATATATTAATAATTATATAGGGAGGTACCACCGCTAGAACTTTACTGGGGACCCTCATCCTCCGAGAAGAGAATAAACGTACCTCAGGGAAAACTCAAAGCTCTCCCCGGAGCTGTTTGAATATTTTCTTCTCCTGCCACCCCCTATGTATGCATGTATATATATATATATATATATATATATATATATATAATATATATATATATATATATATATATATATATATATATATATATATAAGGAATTCGCGAGAGCATGCGAAATATACACAAACACTGATCTCTGGCTGAAGGAGACTCGAACCTACGAACCTTAGGACAAGGTACGCAGTGCTTTACCAATCTACCCACACTGGACCAATACCTTGGCGTGTAGCATGAGCTACACGTTTGATCCAAGGCAGCCAGCTTTCAGGGAGAAGGCTTACAGCTTATCATCTCATCCCCTGCATGCATCAGCCTTACTAGAGATTTGAACAATGCAAGGAATTCGCGAGAGCATGCGAAATATACACAAACACTGATCTCTGGCTGAAGGAGACTCGACCCTGAAAGCTGGCTGCCTTGGATCAAACGTGTAGCTCATGCTACACGCCAAGGTATTGGTCCAGTGTGGGTAGATTGGTAAAGCACTGCGTACCTTGTCCTAAGGTTCGTAGGTTCGAGTCTCCTTCAGCCAGAGATCAGTGTTATATATATATAATATAATATATATATATATATATATATATATATATATATATATATATATATATATAATATATGCAAAACAACCACTCTGAAAGAATAGAGAAATTCCAAGCGCTTTCGTGACTACTCACATTATCAAGGAACTATCTAACTAGTTCCTTGATAATGTGAGTAGTCACGAAAGCGCTTGCAATTTCTCTATTCTTTCAGAGTGGTTGTTTTGCATATTTTGAAATCACCTGTTTACTGTGATCTTATTGCATATATATATATATATATATATATATATAATATATATATATATATATATATATATATATATATATATATATATATATATAATATATATATATATATATATGTCGTGCCGAATATGTAAAACTGGTCAATTAGCAAGAACTCATTTAAAATTAAGTTCTTTCTAAAATTTTCTCTTATACGTTTAAAGATATATATTTTTCATTAATGTTAATGTAAAAATTTATAATTTTGTACCAAAAGAATCTTAGAAAACTTACCTAACCTTATTATAACGAGAACAATTTATTTTAGCCTAACCCAACTAAATATATTTTAAATACGTTTGCAATAATTTAGTACTAAACAAACACAATCAAATATATTTTTTTCGTTAGGTTTAGAATGATTTTGGCGAAATTATTGCATAAATAAATTTTCGCTTGTCCTATATGGCAAGATGAGCGTTGCTATTTAAGCCAAGATCGCAAGTTCTGCCTATTCGGCACGACATATATATATATATATATATGTGTGTGTGTGTGTGTGTGTGTGTGTGTGTGTGTGTGTGTGTGTGTGTGTGTGTGTGTGTTAGTTAGTTACCATTTTGTCCAAGGCACATGTCGATTAGACACTAGGCCTGTTGTATATGCGCGCGCGCGCGCGTGTGTGTGTGTGTGTGTGTGTGTGTGTGTGTGTGTGTGTGTGTGTGTGTGTGTGTGTGTGTGTGTGTGTGTCTGTGGTGTCGTGTGTGTGTCTGTGTGTGTATGTGTGTGTGTATGTGTATATGTATGTGTATGTGTGTGTGTGTACTCACCTAGTTGAGGTTGTACTCACCTAGTTGAGGTTGCGGGGGTCGAGTCCGAGCTCCTGGCCCCGCCCTTCACTGATCGCTACTAGGTCACTCTCCCTGAGCCGTGAGCTTTATCATACCTCTGCTTAAAGCTATGTATGGATCCTGCCTCCACTACATCGCTTCCCAAACTATTCCACTTACTGACTACTCTGTGGCTGAAGAAATACTTCCTAACATCCCTGTGATTCATCTGTGTCTTCAGCTTCCAACTGTGTCCCCTTGTTACTGTGTCCAATCTCTGGAACATCCTGTCTTTGTCCACCTTGTCAATTCCTCTCAGTATTTTGTATGTCGTTATCATGTCCCCCCTATCTCTCCTGTCCTCCAGTGTCGTCAGGTTGATTTCCCTTAACCTCTCCTCGTAGGACATACCTCTTAGCTCTGGGACTAGTCTTGTTGCAAACCTTTGCACTTTCTCTAGTTTCTTTACGTGCTTGGCTAGGTGTGGGTTCCAAACTGGTGCCGCATACTCCAATATGGGCCTAACGTATAGGGTTTGTACAGGGTCCTGAACGATTCCTTATTAAGATGTCGGAATGCTGTTCTGAGGTTTGCTAGGCGCCCATATGCTGCAGCAGTTATTTGGTTGATGTGCGCTTCAGGAGATGTGCCTGGTGTTATACACACCCCAAGATCTTTTTCCTTGAGTGAGGTTGTAGTCTCTGACCCCCCTAGACTGTACTCCGTCTGCGGCCTTCTTTGCCCTTCCCCAATCTTCATGACTTTGCACTTGGGTGATTGAACTCCAAGAGCCAATTGCTGGACCAGGTCTGCAGCCTGTCCAGATCCCTTTGTAGTTCTGCCTGGTCTTCGATCGAGTGTATTCTTCTCATCAACTTCACGTCATCTGCAAACAGGACACCTCAGAGTCTTTCCTTCCGTCATGTCGTTCACAAATACCAGAAACAGCCCTGGTCCTAGGACTGACCCCTGCGGACCCCGCTGTCACAGGTGCCCACTCTGACACCTCGCCACGACCATGACTCGCTGCTGTCTTCCTGACAAGTATTCCCTGATCCAAATTTTAGTGCCTTCCCTGTTATCCCTGCTTGGGCCTCCAGTTTTTTGCACCAATCTCTTGTGTGGAACTGTGTCAAACGCCTTCTTGCAGTCCAAGAAAATGCAATCCACCCACCCCTCTCTCTCTTGTCTTACTGCTGTCACCATGTCATAGAACTCCAGTAGGTTTGTGACACAGGATTTCCCGTCCCTGAAACCATGCTGGCTGCTGTTGATGAGATCATTCCTTTCTAGGTGTTCCACCACTCTTCTCCTGATAATCTTCTCCATGATTTTGCATACTATACATGTCAGTGACACTGGTCTGTAGTTTAATGCTTCATGTCTGTCTCCTTTTTTAAAGATTGGGACTACATTTGCTGTCTTCCATGCCTCAGGCAATCTCCCTGTTTCGATAGATGTATTGAATATTGTTTGTTAGGGGTACACATAGCGCCTCTGCTCCCTCTCTCAATACCCATGGGGAGATGTTATCTGGCCCCATTGCCTTTGAGGTATCTAGCTCACTCAGAAGCCTCTTCACTTCTTCCTCGGTTGTGTGCACTGTGTCCAGCACTTGGTGGTGTGCCCCACCTCTCCGTCTTTCTGGAGTCCCTTCTGTCTCCTCTGTGAACACTTCTTTGAATCTCTTGAGTTCTTCACATACTTCACGGTCATTTCCTTGTGTCTCTCCTTCCTTCCTTAGCCTGATTACCTGGTCCTTGACTGTTTGTTTTCCTCCTGATGTGGCTGTACAACAGTTTCGGTCAGATTTGGCTTTCGCTGCTATGTCATTTTCATATTGTCTTTGGGCCTCCCTTCTTATCTGTGCATATTCGTTTCTGGCTCTACGACTGTTCCCCTTTATTCTCCTGGGTCCTTTGCCTTCTATATTCTTCCATTCCCTAGCACACTTGGTTTTTGCCCCCTGCACCTTTTGGGTAAACCATGGGCTCATCCTGGCTTTTTCATTACTCCTGTTACCCTTGGGTACAAACCTCTCCTCAGCCCCCCTTGCATTTTGTTGCTACATATTCCATCTCTCATTAACTGGCTTCCCTGCCAGTTCTCTGTCCCACTAAAACCCCGTTCAGGTAGTTCCTCATTCCTGTGTAGTCCCCTTTTTCTTGTAGTTTGGCTTCATTCGTCCGGGGCCTTTCCCCTGCTTCCCCCTTTCCACTTGTAGCTCTACGTGTATTCGAAGCTTAAAACCACATGGTCACTGGCCCCAAGGGGTCTTTCATATGTGATGTCCTCGATATCTGCACTACTGAAGGTGAATACTAATCCAGCCTTGCTGGTTCATCCTCTCCTCTCTCTCTTGTAGTGTCCCTTACGTGTTGGTACATGAAGTTCTCCAGTACCACCCCCCATCATCTTAGCCCTCCATGTATCTTGGCCCCCATGGGGGTCCAAGTTCTCCCAATCGATCTCCTTGTGGTTAAAGTCACCCATAAATCAGGACTTTGCCCTGCATGCATTGACTCTTCTGCCACTCTAGCCAGTGTGTCAACCATCGCCTATTGCTCTCGTCGTACCTTGCCTTGGCCTCCTGCTGTTCTGTGGTGGGTTATACATCACTGCTATTACCACCTTGGGACCTCCAGAGTGAAGTGTTCCCACTATTAATCACTTTCTTCTCCGCTATCTCCTCTCTCCACTCA